TTAAATGTGCCGTTGCAGCCAAGTGTGTTATCATGTAAGGTAAAATCAAACTACAATATTGGTTTTACGAGCATTGAGAAGGCTGGTAGGTAACACCCAGGTAACACCTGCCTGTGCTCGTAAATCATGCTGCCAAAGTATTCTAAATTAATTTTATCATACACTTTTGTTGTCCAGAATGGTTGCACTATTGTTTGGTATCATATTATTCCATGTTTATATTATTCTTTGATACCAAAATGTTCTTTGTTTTATTATTGTTCTTTGTTTCTTTGTTTCTTTGTTTGTTTGTTTTATTATTGTTCTTTATTTTTGGTTTTTATTGTTTGGTATCTGTTGTGTTGCCTCTTCACTGTGGCCTCGTGAGAGGCGGGCGGCCGAAAACAATCACCGGAACTGCCGGACATGTATTCTGGCCGCCGCACAACAAGATACCAAAAAACCACGTGACCAACGCCTACGCCGCCATCACCGGAAGTCCACCCCGGACTTAGTAGTGGGCCGATGCCGTGACTAAACACAAGACGAGAGGGCGGTGAGCGTTCTTACAATCATAGTGCCTATCAAATAAGAAACTGAGCACGACTACAACGCGTGGGCATGAAACGTCTACATTTTACAAATCACATTGGCGCCGGTTCGGAATTTGCAATCAGCTGACACGACTTGGGTCTTCCCTAAAAATAACAAAGCAACCTCGCACAATTCTGGCGCAGCTGATACGAACTCTGAACAGCGTAACTAAATTCACGCCACAACACCACCCCTCTCTTTGAGGGAAAACACACCGTATGAAAACACCCAGGCACAGGTACGGTGCTGAGCTTAACTGTACACGCGCAAACTCGCCTAACCTACGGCGAGAAACGCTTCCGCGGCCTACGCACCCTACGGCTGCGGCGCGGGGCCGCATGCTCGTCAGAGGCGGCACCGACTGGCGCCGCTGGGACAGGACTGGTACCCCTGGGCGGCTCGGGACACACATCATCGGTAGGAGCGGGGTCCACGGTCACAGGGGCTGGGTCAGTAGGCTCGGGCTCGCCCCCGACTGGGTAAAAGGTCACCGGCACCTCGCGATCAGCTTCCCCCGGGCGGCCCGGTACCAGGCGCCTGGCATGCACCCGCTCACCTGTGGCCAGCCTGTAGCTGACCGGACCGGTCCTGCGGCTCACCTGCACAGAGCGCTGCCCCTCGACCCGGCCCGTCCCGGGCTTCCGTGCTCGCACCCAGTCGCCAGCTTCCCATCGCGGGGCGGCCGTGGCGGTGCGGTCATACCGGGCCCTGTAGGTCTCCTGGTACGACTGGTGATGCTGCCGGACAGCTCGATCCTCGGCAGCACGGCCGGACGGGGTCACATCGGACGGGGTCACATCGAGAATCGTCCGCGCCTCCCGCCCCCTCATCAAAACAAAGGGCGACACTCCGGTCGCCGGGTGGACCGTGACCCGGTACTCACCCAGGAACTTTCTGACAAACGTCGAGCGCGGCTCCCTCGCCAGGCGAGCCGACTGGATGGCTTCCTTAACCGTCCGGTTCAGCCGCTCGACCATGCCGTTGGTCTGCGGCGAATAGGGCGAACTAAACGTCTGTTTGACGCCCATGCGACCCAAAAACTCGGCGAGTCGGCCCGACCGGAACGCAGGGCCGTTATCTGACAGTAGCTCCAGCGGCACACCTTCGCGAGCGAACACTGTCTCCAGGAACTGGCAGATACTGTCTGCCGTCGCGTCCTGGCAGAGCGCGACCTCCGGCCACCGGCTGTACATATCGACGAGCACAATGCCGTAGCGCTCAGACGACGGACCTCTCATGGGACCGATCACGTCCACCATGAGGCGCTGCCACGGTCCATCTGGGAGTGGGATGGGCTGGAGGGGCGGCCTCTCCCTCCGCACGTGCCCATCGTGCTGAGAGCAGACCTCACAGCTCTTCAGCAGGTCACGCACCTGCCGGTCCAGGCGCGGCCACCAGAAACGCTCACGAAGCCGCTGTTTTGTGCGGACCACCCCCTGGTGGCCCGCGTGCGCGTTAGTCAGAACGCGCTCGCGCAGCGCCGCTGGCACCACCAGCCGGTCACCGCGGAGCAGCAGCTGGCCATGTACGGACAGCTCGTCCCGTACCTGAAAGAAACCAGCTGCTCGGGGGTCAACGTCCCTCTGGCGGGGCCACTGCCCGGACACGTACCCACGGACGACGCTGAGACACTCGTCGGCCGCCGAGGCGTCACTTAGCTCCTCCTCAGAGATGGCTGCTGCCACCGTCAGAGCTGCAATCTGGAGATCGTCATCATCCGGCCACCAGGTCTCGGCTACCGGCAGCCGTGACAGGCCGTCGGCCACGGTGTTCCGCTCCGAGCGGACGTACTCAACGTCGAAAGAAAACTCGAGCAGGCGGGCCTCCCACCGCGCGACACGCCGGCCGACGCGCGTGGAACCCTTGGGACCGAAAATAGTACACAGAGCCTGATGATCCGTGCGCAGAGTGAATTTCCGCCCCCAGAGATAGTGGCGAAACTTCTCACAGGCCCACACCACGGCCAGCGCCTCCTTCTCCACAGTGGAGTAGTTACGCTCGGCCGGAGAGAACGACTTAGACGCGTACGCGATGACCCTGGGCGACCCCGAGGCGTCGATCTGCGTCACACACGCGCCTGCTCCGACGTCGCTGGCGTCGGTCGTCAGCACCGTGGCGAGCGCGGGGTCGAACATACCCAGCGCCGGTGACTGACGGATGGCGTCCTTGACGCGCTGGACGGCGCTGGACAGCGCCGGCGACCACTCGAACTTGTCAGCGCGCAGCGCAGCTCGCAGCGGCTCGACCAGGTCCGAGTACCGCGGCATGAAACGGGCGTGGTAGCCCGTGGCTCCCAGGAAGGCGCGGAGGCCCTTCTCGTCCTGTGGCTCTGGAGCCTCCAGCAGCGGACTGATCCGCTCTGGGTCGATCTGCACACCGGCCGCTGAGATCCTGTAACCGAGGAAATCAATGTCACGGCAGCCGGTGGCACTCTTGGACCAGTTCACTTTCACACGGTGGTCCTCCAACCGCCGCAGCACCTGCTTCAGGCGAGCGTCATGCTCCGCCTGGGACGGTGCGTGGATGATGATGTCGTCGAGGTACACCTCCACCCCGGGGATGCCCTCCAGCATCGACGTCATCACCCTCTGAAAACAAGGGCCGGCACTCGCCAGACCAAAGTTTACACGGCGGAACCGGTACAAACCCTTGTGGCTGACAAACGTGGTCAGGTTCTGGCTGTCGGGATGCAGCTCCAGCTGGTGGTACGCGTCCTTCAGGTCCAGCCTGGAGAACATCAGCGAACCACGGAGCCGATCGAGAACGTCCTCAATCCTCGGGAGAGGATGACCATCCGTGATGACCGCCTGGTTCACCCTCCTCATGTCAACGCAGAGGCGGATGGCACCGTCCCGTTTCCTGCCAACGACCAGTGGTGAGATCCAGGGAGACGCGCTCACCTTCTCAATCACGCCCTGGGCCTCCAGCTCATCAATCCGGGCACTCACTGCGTCCAGCACAGCCAAAGGCAGGCGGCGCAGTGGCTGGCGCACTGGTGGTACCCCTGGGTCAACTGTCACTCGGTGCTGGTACCCAAGGATAGCGGGTTGGGCCCCCGGAGAGGCTGGTAGCTCGTCAGGAGGGCTGGTGGGTTGGGCAGGCTCAGGAGAGGACACACAGGTGGGGTTGGTGGACACACTGCACACACGGTTGCCCACAATACAAACATCAAACACTTCCATCAGGTCAAGGCCCATCAGAGCGCGTCCTGACGGCACAACATACACTTTGACCAACTCTGTTTTCCCCCGGCATGACACATGAACACTTTTCACCCCCAGCACATTTAGCACGCTCCCCCCGTAGGCACAAAGGCTCTCCTCGGCTGCCCCAAGATCACCCTGCACAGAGTCCCTCGGCAGGATGGAAACTGGAGACCCTGAGTCCACAGTGAAAGTTACCTTGAGCCCCTCTACCTCAGCATCAAGGGTCAGCGGCACGGCACTAGCCCCAACAGCTAGCACCTGGACACTAGAAACCACACTAGCACCGCAGTGCTGGGCAAAGTGGTTGGTCTTACCGCACTTGGAGCACTTCCTACCGAACGCTGGGCAGCTGCGGTCACCTCTGCGATGTCCAGGGCGCCCGCAGCCCCAGCACTCAGGGCCTGCTGTCTGCTGCTGTGGTTGCTGCCGTCTCGGCTGCTGCTGCCTCCCCTGCGGAAGCTGCTGCCGTCCTTCCTGCTGCTGGGCTGGGACCGGGCCGGAGCGTCGGCGTCTGGACCCCCCTCGCTGAAACTTCTGTGGCTGCAGGGCCTGGACAGGCACAGGCACGGCTGGTCCCTCGATAACCCTTGCTTCTCGTTCAGCAGACTCCAAGGTGTCGGCCAGAGTCAGGGTCTTCTCCAGAGTCAGACCTGACCCTTCCATGAGAAGCCGCTGCCTCAGCTTAGAGCTCACGGTCTTCTCAATCACCTGGTCCCTGATAAACTCGTCCATCTGGGCACCGTACTCACACGTGCTGGCCAACTGGCGCAGCACGGAGACCCACTGGCTGGTGGTCTCACCTGGTTGCTGCCCCCGGCTGCGAAAGCGGTAGCGCTCAACACAAACATTCTGTTTGGGAGCGAAATGGGCCTCGAGGCGGCGCAGGCACCATTGGAAGTCGTCCTCGCTTTCCAGCTTCTCCATGGGTGGCAGATTCTCAAACACCCGCTGCCCCTCCGTCCCTAGACAAGTCAGGAGGACAGCTTGGCGACGTGCGGGAGGGAAAGCGTCACCTCCGACCGCACACAAAAAGTTCTCAAACATCCTGACCCACCGAGGCCAGGGAATCGCCGGCTCAGCTCCAGCGGTGGGCAAAAACGGCGCGGGAGCCGCCGCGAAATCCATGGTGAAAAATCACTGTTCGAAGTCCTCAGTCGCCACTTTGTTGTGTTGCCTCTTCACTGTGGCCTCGTGAGAGGCGGGCGGCCGAAAACAATCACCGGAACTGCCGGACATGTATTCTGGCCGCCGCACAACAAGATACCAAAAAACCACGTGACCAACGCCTACGCCGCCATCACCGGAAGTCCACCCCGGACTTAGTAGTGGGCCGATGCCGTGACTAAACACAAGACGAGAGGGCGGTGAGCGTTCTTACAATCATAGTGCCTATCAAATAAGAAACTGAGCACGACTACAACGCGTGGGCATGAAACGTCTACATTTTACAAATCACATTGGCGCCGGTTCGGAATTTGCAATCAGCTGACACGACTTGGGTCTTCCCTAAAAATAACAAAGCAACCTCGCACAATTCTGGCGCAGCTGATACGAACTCTGAACAGCGTAACTAAATTCACGCCACAACAGTATCATTATATCCATATTATTCCACTCTCTTTAACCCTCGCCCTGGCAGGGGGGGGGTCGATGCGACCCCTCCCTAAGGTTTTTCGAAGATAGCGTAAAAACGGTGGCGCTGCGCGCCGCCAAATTTGGCACAGCCTATGGGGCAGCCTTTTTACATATGACCTGAAAATTTCAGGTCCGGGTGACCTTGGGTCAGGTCACCAGGTCAGAAAAACCGGTACAAGGTCATGGTCAAATTTCAATTTTCTTTTTGCACCTGTCCAACTCACAGTTTTGGACTGATTTCCTTCAAACTTTCAGGATGTGCTAAGTTCACCGAGTTGTATAACATATAGTCCGGCTTTTTTGAGGTCACTGACCTGAGGTCAGTTAGAGGTCATTACGTCGTAATGTTAAGCCTATGGGAAAATACTAAATTCGGAAAATACTGGAGATATCCGCTTCGTTCTATCACTTTTGTGCTTTGAAACCACGGTACTTAACAGCAGGTCACTTGGTGCTTCTTTGTTTGGTGTACTTATCCATGGGTCAGGTCAAATGAGGTCAACTGAGGTCAAATGACGTTTTTGCCAATAACTTGGCACATAATGACGCTAGAGCTTCAAAAATGGTATCATTGTGTTCCTGGTGATCAGCCGAATCGAATGATATGCGATATGATGCAATTTGGTTACGTTGAACTTAATTTATTAATTTAAGTTTACTTAAAATTTAAGAAAAACTTTAAGTACACTTAAGCAAGCTGAAAAGTATATCATTCGACGCGCCTTGACGTGCTGAGTTCACTGGTGCTTTTCTTTTTGCTCTATCTTAATTAGATCAAAAGTTATAAGCGAAAAACTTATGACCTGTTTTTAGCGAAATTTTTACATTTATACCCCCCAAAACCCCCCTATTGCTTGAGACCTCTGTGACAAACAAATATTTATAGTTTTTTGATAGTTTGGATTCTTGGCTTGATTTAGCAGATCAGCTGTGAACCTTGACTTTGAAATCACATAAATGTCATGGTACCCGAACGAATCCTCGCATGACATTTCTTCGTAGCACAATTTTTCGTCCGCATTTCTTCGTCTACAAATCTTCGTCGGTGCATTTATTTGTCCCTCTTACTCTTGCATATATTTGCGTTGAAGAAGAAATGCGAGCCGATTTTCATATACCCTGATGCGAGACAGAGTAATGCGATACGAATAAATGCCCTGACGAAGATTTGCAGACGAAGAATTGCGACACGAAGAAATGCCATAAGCAGAATTATCCTGGAATCCTTTATTGGCCATCATATATTGACCTTGATAAGATAAACGTATCATTCGCGCAATATTTGTCGCACTTTGATACCAAACTATTGCTTCCAAATGCCGACGTAAAGAAAACCTTTATGTGACGTCATAGAAGCAGCGGAGTTCCCAAAAAGTAAACAAAAATAAAAGTCTTATATCTCGAAAACGGGTGAATATTTTCCGGTAAAATTTGGTAGATGTTCATTTCCGCTCTTTGTGATTCACGCTACATCACTTTTATGCCAATTCATTAACTTTTTTGAAAGTGGGAGGGTCCCTTTAAATCGGTGAGCAAAGGGGTAATTATTCATATGGTGTTTAACCGCCCATCATTCCAAGGGTGACCAATCACCAATATATAACTAGGCATTAATGATTTCAATAACGAATTTGTTTGGAAATAGATAGCGTATATTTGGCTCCTTGTCACACAGAAATTAATAATCACGTTTGAAGAAAATAGGAAATCAAACACCCCTGAGTAACAAAACAAAACCCAACCAAGCATCCATAAGATCACACTTTGTCTCATTGTTACAGCTCAGTGAAACATAGGCGTTTGTTTATCACATAGACAGCATAGAACAAGACGGGATTCGCGCCAAGGGCCGTCCCTTTCCTTCCGATTAAGATTAAGTGATTATATAAAGTCCACAAGGCACACAGTGACTAGACCCATGTTAACATATTGAACCTGTTGGTATGCCGCTCACTCGGGCTTGACGTAACGGCCAGAGAACAAAACCAGACCGACCTCGTTGTCAACGATAGCGAAGAAGAACGGGTGGTTGGCAAAGAACTCGAACTGCTCCATGGGCATGCATCGCATCATCATGATCATGCCCGTGGCGGCGGCCGCTTCGGCGCCCTCCTCGTTGACCTCAATGAAGGCCTTGTGGACTACCTTGGACACAAAGAGGTCATTGTTGCCCGATATCTTGGACAGGTCCGCCGAATTGAAATCAAACAAGTAAACGATGCCCAGCTTCTTCAGATGGTCTTCGAGGTTGTAGGACGCTTCCAACTTAAACTTGGGGATGCTGATGGTAGTCTTTTCACTGTGCAGCTTCTGCATGATGGACTGGACCGGTGTGTTGGCAAGCTTCTCCTCCAGAGCCTTCAGTCCGTCCTTCTTGTCGGGCAGCAGCAGCAACATGCTGAACCGCCGGCCCTCGTACGGCAGCTCCAGAGCCTTGCAGCCGAGGTCGGAGAGCACGCCGCAGTTGAAGCGCTTGCCGTCCATGAACATCATGTCTGTCTTCACGGCGCTGTCTGGAGTGACGAAAAAGTCCTGCTTCTGCGTCACCTCCTTGTCAAACTTCTCTTGCCACGAGCCCTTGAAGTAGATGGCATTCACCAGCACCAGGCGCACAAGTGCGTTCAGGGCACTCGGATCGATCAAGTCCTTGATTTTCCCTCTCGTCAGTGACTCCACGTCATCATTGATCAGTTTGCTTGTGCCGGCCGCGTCTGCAAAGTCCACGCTCTTCAGCTCGCTGAGGTACTGGTTCTTCATGAGCTCGAGGTAGCTGTCCAGTATCTTGTAGGAGTTCTGCACGTACATCTTGTTGGCGGTGCTGAGTGTGACGTTCGGCGGGTCGTTCAGCTTGGCCAGCACCTTGCCGTAGCCGTCGTGGAGCGACGCGGCGTCCTCGGGCAGCGCCAGCGCCTGCCGCAGCTGGAGCGCCGTGTCGCCGCCGGCGCCGCCGAAGGCCATGGACAGCGCGGTGGCGATGCTGAACGGCGACAGGAACACGTTGTCGTCGCCGGCCGCCTCTGTCAGCACTCGGTACAGCCGGGAGGCCGCCTGCGTCTGGTGGCTGGTCACCGGCTCCATGGCGCTGGGATTGGTCTGAACGGACGGGCACGAGTCGAGACCGAGGGTCGGCGCGGCGAGCAGCAGCAGCAGCAGCAGCAGGGGAGCCGGCGCGGCGCTCTGACACCGACTAGCACCGGTGGCGGCCGGGACTGGTGGTCGGCGGCGGCGGCGGCCGGCCCGCGCCAGTCTGATTCACTGCCACAGACACGTGTCGCTGTCGTATAACGTGGGCGGTAGCACCGCACCTGCGGGCCGGCAGCCGCCTTTTGTTTGGGCTGGCCCGACACTGCCGTGCCGCTGTACTGTGCGGAACACGACCACGCCTCTCACACACTGCAAGTACCACCCAATTCAATGGCGGCCCGCCGCTATCCGCCACCGGTCGCCGGCCGGTCCGTCACTACACCCAAAGCCACAGCCCGAGAGCTGCCGCACTACGGACTGGTCTCCGGCCTTGGCTTTGTATCACGCCTTCTCCAGCGACTACGGCCAGTGGCGACATCTACTCAGATTTCTGCAGCTGCTCGCCACCGCTGAGTTGTTGCGCAATGATACATACATGGCGTCACTGATTGCTACACTGGAACTTTGCGTAAACATTTTTATCAAGCAAACATGTTTTTATAATAGGATTGCAGATTCAAGTAGGGCGTTGCAAAACTACTGTATAAACATACTCAATTTCATCATACACACGTGGCAAGGAAAACAGGGTAGGTGAGGCGAAACCTCGGGTAGAAAAAAGACCTTTTTCCGTTAATGGTTCAACTGCCTGGGCATAGGAAAAGAACACCTTTTTAACGTTCTTCATGTTAACCCACGCCCTGGTAGGGGGGGGGGGTATTTTTGCCCCTCCCCCTCCAGACTTTTCGATATATCTCCAGAACCACTGCGTTGATCGTCACCAAACTTAGTACCCTCCCGGGCATCAATTTTACACATTGTGACCAAAAAAATTCCAAAGGCTTTGATAGGTTGGCCGGAAATGACGTCAGAATGACGTCATGTTTTGCCGCTTTCGACCCAAAAAAAAGGTTTCGCGAAAAGAGCTGTCAGGCCTAGGTACAGCTTTGAAGATACAGAAAAATGATAAGAACATAAAAGCTTTTAAATAGACAGGGCTACGAAATTCCTATCTCGGGTTTTTGAATTTGTTGAGTTTTGACCCCCAAAAATAAAAAAACTAGTTTTTTGGATATACCTATTAGCCAAAAAATCAAAAAAGAGTTTCGAATTTCGAAAAAAATCGGAATAAATATGATAGTACTAACTACTAACCGTGTTCTATCTGGATACCAAATTTTAGATCGATATCCCTTTTTTGGCCAAGTTATAGCGAAAAAAAAACTGTTCAAAGATGATGACGTCAAATTTTCGAACTCAATTTTTGGCAATTCTAGACAACGTAGCGCGAAATAAAGACCACCATTGGTCTCGCCGTGACGAGCTGCATCGAATCGATACCCACCTTATGCAAAAATATCAACTTTGGAATTTGACCTTTTTTTACCTGACCTGTGACCTGACCTGGTATTGTCAGTGACCTCTAATAGCTCAGCATATGTACTACCAACTGACGCCCTATCGCTGATGTTCGATGAAATTTGTTTTACTCGATTTTATAGTGCATTCTCTAGAAGACCCGTGAACGGCAAACATTTTATCTTTGACCTGACCTGTGACGTCATCGGTGACCCTGAGGTCACTGAAATTGAATTTCTATCAACAAATTTGAACAGAGCTTTCGAACGCTGTTTGAATTTTGTGGAGCCGTCCAGTAGAGTAGTTTCGGAGATACGAGGGAGGGGGGGAACATGGACGACGGTGAAAACAGGGCGCCTGGGGCGATTTGATCAAGGTTCGTAAAATTTACACGTGACGTTTGGCATATAGAAGCCCCTTGGAGCGGGAGCAGTTCCAAATGTCACGTGACTAATATGCCCTCCGGCGCCCTGTTTTCACCGGCGTCCAAAAACATGCCCCCCCCCCCCCACCAGGTCACGTTATAAACACAAACAGACCCCACCGGGGCGCGGGTTAACAAAGGTTACATAAAAGTAGATGAGAGCTGTGAAAAACGTATCAACAACAGGCTAAGGACAAATACCTATATGCTGCTCGAAAAAGACTAATTTCATTCGAAGTGAGGTTTTAACAATGGCTCGGCACCAGAGCACTTCAAGGATAGGCTTTTCAGGATGCAGCCCGGCCCACATCCAGAGTAATATCTAGGTCCGCCCATTATCCGCTTTCTTTGAATTTCAGAACCTAAAAAAATTCAGCCAAAAGTCCAAAAAATATCCATAATAATCGTTTCACCAAAAACTGTTTGTGAGACCATCACAAATTCCCTGCAGGCTAGAGCAGACACTAAACAGCCATATATCTCTCAGGCTATCATGGTTCACAGAGGCATGCTTATAAATCACATGTAAACCAATAAACACATCTGCAAGTTGTTAATTTTTAACATGAGCATTGAATGTTATGATTTTATCCGTTCTGATCCGTGTTCAACTTCCAACTCCCAAATCTAGCCCAAATTCTATTTTTCCAAATTTGGGATCCAATCCCATCCGGTCCATGGATTTATCCATGGATAACAGACTTATCCGGCCCATGAAGTGCTCTACTCGGCACTCCAAGTGTTCATTGTTGGTTTTGCAGCCACGGACGTCGACCGGACGCCGGTGCCGGTCACTTCTAGTTGTCCTTCGAGCTCAGAGATGTCGCGGCGTGACACCGTCGTCGGCTCCGACGCACGAGCGCGCCGGCCGCGTCGGCCGCGTCGGCGTGCAGTCGGCCGGCGTCGGAGGCGGCGGTTATTTCCGTCACACGCGGCACGTGCCAAGCGCGGTGACGGCGTGACGCGGCGGCGGCGACGGCGACGGCGGCGCGCTATTACTACGGCGGCGGCGTGGGGCGTGTTTTGGGCGGCCGGCGGCGGGCCGCCGCTCGGACGGATGACAGGCCAGCGCGCGGCGCGTCGGGAGTCGGAGAGCGCACCACCGCCACCGCCGGCACAGCATGGCCGCGGCCGAGCGACGGCGACCGGCCGGCCGCGCCGCCAGAGGTGAGTCGGTCCGCACAGTCACCACTGCCCACTGCCCACTGCCCACTGTCCACTGCCCACTGCCCACTGCCCACTGCCCACTGCTCACTGCCCACTGCCCACTGCCCACTGTCCGCTACCCGCTACCCACTGCCCACTGCCCGCTACCCGCTGCCCACTGCCCACTGCCCACTACCCACTACCCACTGCCCACTGCCCACTGCCCACTACCCACTACCCACTGCCCACTGCCCACTGCCCGCTACCTACCTCGTACAGTGACTGCCCAGTCAAGCATGACTACCCACTACCCACCTAAGTTGCAAGCCTCGACTGCTGCAGTCATCCCGGCCAGGGAACGGCTGCCGTACGACACTGCTGACAGTTCGACAGCCAGCTTACGACAGTACAGTGTGGCCGTACGACCAACTATACACAGAGTACGACCGTAGACGGTCGCCGCACGACAGCATCCGTGCTCCATGTTCCACGTCCCCTCTTGTCCCGGTGCATCGTGCCCCTGTAAGTCTATAGATGCTACTGCACATTATTGTGTTGACATCACTGCAAATTATTGTAAGAGGTAGATCGGACGGCGGCTTGGGATGGCTCGAACTAAAGCTTGCTTGTGAAACGAGCCGGATCAAAAAGCTCCGCGGCCTAGCACATTGGATCAGACGGCTCCTGACACACTGGATCGGACGGCTCCTAGCACACTGGATCGGACGGCTGGCGGCTAACGACTTCCTCTGCGGGCAATATTGCCGGAGTGACAGCCGCGACAGCCGTGTTTTACGCCGGGGCCTGTTTTGGCGCGGCCGTCTGTTGGGGTTGGCGCGCCGCGGCGGTGACCCGCAGACACCGAGGGGTCGACACCGAGGGCCTCCCTGTGTGGGAACAGCTGGTCGACGGAGCCGCGAGTCAGGTAGGCTAGGTTTGGTGCTGCTCCGTTCGAGTAAGAGTCCGTGTCAGATGAAGGATTATTCCATTTGAACACTTCGTCGTCGTGCAAATTAATAATGCGCTTTCTTTTCTCTAATGAGTAGTTTAGCAAAAAAAGATAAGGTTTTCAAACTTTTAAAGGGAATAGTCCACTTTCCTGAAGTTAGTGTTTTGCAATGGATTTATGATTTTATATGCTTAAAATGATCAGAAAAGAACAGAAACCTTTTGAATTAAATATTTTAATATAGGAAGAGCTATTTTTAATTTTGGTATAGGTCACGCACTATTTGCAGCGGAAGGTAACGATGCATTGACCTATCAATTAAAGCTGCATAGACTCGCATGAAGTTGTAGACAAAACAGCGCATTTGATACAACCTATTTGCAAGCTGATTGGCTGAAAGTTGAGCCTCTGTGACAAGCGACACACATAGGCGGCGGAACGGGGAGGGGACCGGGGCACCATGCGCCCTTTGATCTTGGCATTTTGACATTAGCCCTATGTGCGTTGCATGGAAAGAATGGGACAAAAAGTCCCCCCCCCCCCTTTAATTGAAGGTGTTCCGCCGCTACTGCTTCACAAACTTGGCGTTGCCATTGATTGCTAAGATTTAATATCATCCCTACAAGTAGGAACTGATCCCCTCCGATCTTTTTATGAAATACCGCTATTGAAAAACCATGGCATGGCAGCTGGCAGCCGCGGTCAATCGACACTGCTGTTTGAACGAAAGGGTCCGCCACCCCTAAGTCGTTTGGGCCTGATTTGCTGCCTGCAGCAACATTCGACCATTTTTCACTGTATTTTACCGTACTATATTTTGTCCTATAACCCCTCCTCTAACTCTCCTCCATATTTCGCCAAACATCGGAATGGTTATTGCCTCCCTTGCGACACCAGCCTTTCATGTTTTCCTATCGGGCGCCGAGTGTCGTAAGGTTGTTGTTGGCCGCGATCTGATCAGAGGCCGCCACTGGCGGCGGCCGTGGCTCCGTCGCGGCCCGCGCCCTCGGAGCGCGGTGCCATTCCGGTCCGGTCTGCCGGCACAAATTGACCGCGGCCGCTCTGATGAGGTTGGGGTAATGTCGTTAGGCGACGCTGCGACAGGCCGGCGGCGCCGATTAGGGCGCGGCGTGGCCCTCATTGAAGCGGGGGCCCGTCTATGGCCCCCACCGCCGCAGCTATGGCGGCAGCAGCGCTGAGGGGATCGCCCTGCGCCCGACTTTGGTATCCCGCAATCACTACGGACGCAATCTGATCGCTGTCCAAATGCTGAAAAAATCGTCAAAATATTCCTTTCCTTATTTGATTATAATTCCAATGCAACGTTTGTTCGCACTTCAACTTCAAGTAAACTTTAATAAGTAATTTTCCCTAGAAGGAGGGTTTCCATCTCTGCTTTTTTATAAGCTTAGCTTAGATATTGTTACCGTTGCAGGAAACATAAAGACATATCAAAGTGTAAAATAGTCAGATGACGCAGCCATCTGGAAAGCACGGCTGCTTTGTGTTTTCTCATTTCATTGTGTCTTTTACATCTGACAGTGGGAAATAAAGGCCTTTGTTCTTCCTGGCTGGGCCGTCCACTTGTGAGAACACTTGGACGCGTTTCTCCTATTCATACTAATGGAGCCTAAAATTCAAAAGTACCTACAGAGGAATTATTTACGAAATGAGGTAATTGTTTTTGGCAAGATTCTTGGATGCATGACATTAGCGAAAGCTATCTAAGTGATGTATGCTGGATACACATCAGCCCTGGGATATCGCTTTTACCACAAAGAGAACGTTCCGGAATGTGCTGTCCAGTGTCTTCTGATCTGGCTGTTCCGGCGGGTCCCACATGTCCGGCTGATGGTCGTCCGGCAGGCTCCACGTCTCCACCACGAGTCCCGCTGGCCGTCCGTCCGGCAGGCTCCATCGCCCGTCCTGTGACCTGTGGCGCCGGCCGCAGTCCGCAGTCGGCACTGGGCCCGGCCGCGGCTGTAGGCCGGACTGCGATCGATGCATCGGAACACCGTCACCCAGCCGGCGGCTGCGGCCGGGACAGCTCCCTGCGACACGGGACAGCTCCCTCCCACCGGGACAGATCCCTCCCACCGGGGCAGCGCCCTCCCACCGGGACAGATCCCTCCCACCGGGACTGGGACAGATTCCTCCCACCGGGACAGCGCCCTCCCACCGGGACAGCGCCCTCCCACCGGGACAGCTCCCTCCCACTGAGACAGATCCCCCATCACGGGACAGATCCCTCCCACTGGGACTGGGACAGCTCCCTGCGACACGGGACAGCTCCCTCCCACCGGGGCGGCGCCCTCCCACCGGGACAGCTCCCCCCAACACGGCACAGATCCCTCCCATCAGGGCAGATCCCTCCCACTGAGACAGATCCCCCATCACGGGACAGATCCCTCCCACTGGGACTGGGACAGCTCCCTGCGACACGGGACAGCTCCCTCCCACCGGGGCGGCGCCCTCCCACCGGGACAGCTCCCCCCAACACGGCACAGATCCCTCCCATCGGGGCAGATCCCTCCCACCGGGACAGATCCCTCCCACCGGGACTGGGACAGATCCCCCGACACCGCCACGGGTTATCTCCCTGCGACATGGGGGCGGGACATCTCATCGAGACGCGGGACAGCTCCCTCCGACGCGGGGCAGGAACAGCTCCGGACGATGGTGGACGGCTTCCACCATACGATAGGCGTTATCACAAGTGTATTCGCGGCCATTGGGGCGACATAAGAAAAGAAGAAACCAACTGGCCCCAAGAACTTTAAATTATCAGTTAGCATGCATTTTTTCCTTGATGTGTAGAGAATTTACCATTATTTGTTACAGAAAATTGCATTTAAAATCTTCCATTTATGCTTTTTTTTCATCGTTTGCACAATATGTTCTTTTACTAAGCTAGAAACACTAATTAGAAATAGTTCCCGCATCATCAAGAACAATAGGGAAGGCTTGAAGTGAATAAAATAATTTAAACGGTTTTGTAATCTATGTGAAGGCACTTCTAAAATTGCCTGTAGAAATATTGAAGGCAAAAGTTCAACTTTTTCACAAGATGGATGTCTGTAAACCTATTTAACTTGTGACAACTCAGCCGGTATTTCGTCGCCTACAGCCCAGCTTTCCCTAGTGACCGATAGAGGCGCTGCTATCGATGTCCGCCCGTGCCGCCTAACGATTTCTGTTCGGCCAATATCGAACCTTTTCGAAGAGGGTCGCTTGAATTAATTTAGGCCAATGTACATATAGCAGCCCCACCCGTCCGCAACAGTTTCCCAACATCGGGCGGCGGGGGACGGGTAGCACAGAGCAGCGGTCCCTGGAGAATGGATGCTGGGCGCCCTCGCGGATCAGCGCGTCAGATGATTGTGTTTTCGCCGCTGTCTATATAACGATCATTGGGGATGTATGTAGTCTGGGGCAAATTTTCTCACTCCGCAGACCACTCGGCTGGAAGATCATAGGCATTACCAAGGTTACTTTACTTATAGGTATAACGTTTGTCCGTGGATTCGTTAAGCGCTTGGGAAGAAAGCATGCTTTCTTATTTCAACACGTTTGCAAGGAAAAAGAGAAGTCCCAGCCAGCATCGCCACTAGTGATAAGTTATTATAAGAACAGTTTTAATGAACATTCCCCATCTTGAGCTGTATAACTTGAAGATAGATTATAATGAGCAAAGTAACTATATATTAACCCGGCCGGGCCCGGGGGGGGGGGGTAATCCCAACCACCGAGGCCCGGGGGCGTTTTTCGCCCCCCCCCCGTCTAACTCCGTAATTAAGGGAGCTAAGGAAACAAAAGCGATGCCAAACGAAAGGCCATTAGTTACAAGACGATTCTAAAGCACCTTAATTTTTTTTACCTCAGGTCAGTTTTCAAAGTCAGCGGTCAAGGTCAAAGGCAAAAACCGGTACATGTGTAGTAATCTCAAAGTAAGCGTTCTAGAGGACGACAGGATGCATAAAACCGACAAAATAGGGTGTCAAACGACAGAAGAGAATCTGAGGATTCCGCAAATGTGCTCAAAATCAAAGGTCAATGTCAAGGTCATGCTCAAAATTGACCTCAAACTTTGCACTTTTTCGTACATCTTGTGTGCTAATTTCCAAGATAATTTGAAATGTTTTGAGACTTATCAGGTCCCTATTTGTCGTTTATCTTACGATACAAGGCTGCTCAAAGGTCAAAGTCACAGAAGAGTATCTTTGCTAGAGGCTATTTCACTGATTCAAGTTAATAAATAGGACAATTTTGCCATCCGGAGGCTCGAAATGAAGGATAAGAGGAAATAAATGCCAGATTCGTGATCAGTGGGTACGAATCCATCATAAACGAATTTTCATGTGTCAAGGTCAACCAAAGGTCATTCGACTTCGAGATCACATGAGGTCAACATAAAACTTGACCTTTTCCAAACAAAATATATATCATTTGACGCGGCTTGACAAGGCGAATGCGATGGTACCACTGCCGAAGCTCTAGGGCCATGTTTGTCGAAGTTATTTGCGAAAAACTAAAACACATTTCGGGGTCGTTGACCTGACCTCTGAGTCTGACCTCACGTCACCAAAACTATTTTTCTATTTTCGCTAGGTCAAACGCTACACAACCGTGCTCGTAATTTGTCTTTATCTCTAAAACTATATTTTTAGTAGCTATTTGAAGTTCGCCTCTGTGACGCCGAAGTTTGCCGTGCAGGGGTCTAGAAAAATGGACCCTGTGACGTCATCAAGGGGGCTAGGTCCATTTTTTTTTTTTTACTTTAGAAGATGTCAAATTGATGGGAAAAAAGGTACTGAAAGTGTCGTTTTCCTATTTCTAAGCGTTTGGGAGCTATCGCAAATATTCGCCAGGGGGAACGCCCCCCCCCCCCCTCCGGGCCAGCGAGTTTTCACGTATATCACTGTTACGAGCATGGCACTTCCCCGTCGTTTCCCGTATTTCTCGGCTGTGGGTGTGTATCGATTCAGAGGCAGTATCGGAGAGTTGTCCGGCCCCGACGGCGGCAGAGTGGAGACCGCTGTCAGGGGAGGACGGCGCGGCGGCGAACTTTCCCGTGCCCGGGGTGGCGGTGAACTGTGCCCGGGCTGGGTGGGTGGTGGCTACCTCCCATCCCGGGGTGGCGGTCAACTGTGCCCGTGCTGGGTGGGTGGTGGCTACCTCCCATCCCGGGGTGGCGGTGAACTGTGCCCGTGCTGGGTGGGTGGTGGCTACCTCCCATCCCGGGGTGGCGGTGAACTGTGCCCGGGCTGGGTGGGTGGTGGCTACCTCCCATTCCGGGGTGGCGGTGAACTGTGCCCGGGCTGGGTGGGTGGTGGCTACCTCCCATCCCGGGGTGGCGGTGAACTGTGCCCGGGCTGGGTGGGTGGTGGCTACCTCCCATCCCGGGGTGGCGGTGAACTGTGCCCGGGCTGGGTGGGTGGTGGCTACCTCCCATCCCGGGGTGGCGGTGAACTGTGCCCGGGCTGGGTGGGTGGTGGCTACCGCCCAACCCGGGGTGGTGGCGGTGAACCCCCGTGCCGCTGGGTAGGCGGAGGCGGCATGCCAGCGCTCGTTACGTTACTGCCGGCCTGATTCGATTGCCGGTCCGGGCGGGCGAGCTCGTCAGGGGCGCCGCGGCGGCGATTGGGACGCCATTCGGACCACTCGTGCGGCTCCATGTCCTTCTCACCTGGCCAGCGTGACCGGCATAGCCGCCAATCAGCGGCCGGCAGGCCGTAAGGAGGTCGCCAGCGCCCACTGAGGGTCACCACCGCGCACGGAGGGCCGGCGGCTCCCGTTCAGAGGGTCACCACCGCGCACGGAGGGCCGGCGGCTCCCGTTCAGAGGGTCACCACCGCGCACGGAGGGCCGGCGGCGCCCGTTCAGAGGGTCACCGGTGCCCACACACTGCTTACACCGTATACATTTTCAAGCAGTCTGTTTGGGCTACAGTGTTTGACTAGAAAATTGTATTTCTATAAGGCAAAAATGATTTAACGATTATATAAATAAATAATAAGCATTAAGATCCGAATTCGAAAGTGGCGCATTTTCTAAAATGACTTGGCGAGCCTCTTACCCTCTGTTTTGGTGAAAAATATGACAGTTTTTAATCGTTTCTTGTCACCTCTTCGGCCACGGCCTTTCTCAATACGTCAGATTCACCTAACAACCGCCATCAGACGTCATTTGTCATTTGTCATTCGCTTCTCTGTTTCTTTCGTCCTTTCTCTCTCTCTCTCTCTCTCTCTCTCTCTCTCTCTCTCTCTCTCTCTCTCTCTCTCTCTCTCTCCCTCCCCTCCTTCTCTCTCCTCGCCATCGATCTAGAACTTGTGACCCTCGACGAGGAGCGCTGGGAAAGTCTCCACCTCTGCCGAGTCTCTGGCCACGGCAGCTCGCGACCAGTCACTCAGTGCAAACAAATTGAATAGCAGGAACAAATCAGCTCGACTGGCGGTCCATTGCGTGCTGTTGTGCGGTTATAGCTAATGACACATTGAAGTTCCTCAGTTGGAAATCAGTTATCGATACATACGTTACCAAATAGATCCTTTTTATTACCACTAACATTCGCTAATATTTCACCGTCCATGACTACTGTTGTATCCCTGCGCATGTACCTAAAGCGTACCAATGTGTGTATATAACACCTACCACTATTTTAGGTACATACTGGTTGAGCTTTGTTTGTATTTACATGGCTAATTGTTGATTCTCTTGAATGTCGCGTCACATCTACCTTTATACTGACCAATCAGTAAAACATCACAACTCAATGTTAAATGAATGCCGAAACCCTTTCCAATCCCAGCGCCCCGCTGAATCTGAAGGTATGTTCAACTTCCCTCCCTAGATGGTGCTGGTATCGAGCGCCTGAACTGATGCTGTGCCGCCGTGCATGCCGCCTAACTCATGCTGTGCCGCCGTACTTACAACACCCGTACGCGTTACAACTTCGATGCCGTCTTCATTCTAGGTCAATCATGTTGTCAGATAATGAATAGGTATGATATATGCCTATATTCGCTAGTTTATTTACATTTAACTGCTTAGCTGCGGTGGGGGTGAGGGTGGGGTGTGTGTGTGTGTGTGGGGGGGGGGGGGTGCCTTAACGCCTCTCGTGCTCAATGAAGTAGCGAACATATTTGGCCCCTACGCGAACCCTGACCGTTCCTGGCCTTAGTCCGTGATCGCAGTAGCATTGGGCTCTTGGCCATTTATTGACCAATTATATTTACCGCCTGTCGAGTGTCGTGGCCCGTGGGGAAATATAATGTAAATAAGTACAACAGAGAGTCATAAGTGATTGGTCTTTCGAATACTAGGTATGTGACTTTAACGGTGGCTATTTTTTTCCAGGTGACATACTACTCATAGCCAGCCTAGCCGTCCTTATTTCAACGGTTTGTGGTAAGTGGTCTCGAAATTCATCTGTCGTTGAATGGTCGATGCCACCTGAAATTGCTGATGCTGTTTTTTCCTTTTCAAAATAATTGTTATGCTTTCATTTTAACAGAAATTATTTGTCGATTAGATAAAACTAGAAAAAATCAATAGACACAGTGGTGAATTCTACGATACAATGCTAAATGAAACCGCTTCTATGCTGAACCATGCTGTCTTTCGCACAAACTGGTTGTGCTGCAGCATTCGATACAAACAATTTGTATGTACAATAAACAGTCAAACAGTCACAGTCAAAATTGATTACCTATACACAATGTTGATAGGACACCGAAATTAATATTGGTGTTTTTTTTTCAGGTCAGGAGGCAGCGTTGAACGCCCACCCGGCCTGTGTCAACTTTACCCGCGGTAACGAGGTGCTGAGGGAGTTTTACTCGCCCGGCTGGCCGGGCCGCTACCCCAAGAACGCCAACTGCACCCGCACGCTCACAGGTGGGAAACATGGGGAAAGGGGGAAGCCTGTAGGTACTACGCAGAGGTGGGTCATGTGCAGGGGTGGATCGTTCCATACTCGATACCATTTAAACATTTATAGAGGATAAATACGCGTTGAATTGGGTGGCACAACAATAAACCTTGCAAGAGTGCCGTCTAAAAATTTCTGACGGCGATTTGCCCGGCTGTAGTTGGTTGTCGGCACCAAGGGCCCGTTCTGGCGGCCCAGTCCCGCCACAGGGCCCGCTCCGGCGATCCCCAGTCCCGCCACAGTGCCGCTGAGTGGCGCGGCGACCCGTCCCGCCGCAGGGCCGCAGTTAATCAGCACCTGTCATGTCCGAGACGGTGTCCTGCCACCGCGAATATATATCCGCTGACGGGTGTCTGGCCGTCGTCAGCCGCTGGCTGGTAGTCGTGCCTGTGTCACGTGCCAGCGGGACCTGCGGGCTCCTGGTGAGGTCCCCTCCGGCGTCTGTCACTCTCAGAACTGATAACGGCAGTCAGTCGACGACACTCATGGCACAATCTAACAGCTAATCTGACAGCTAAAGGGACTGATAATCTGTCGGTCGTTAGCAGATATAGGTACAATTGTAGCAGACTGTGACATAGGGGGCGGGGCAGTAAGCAGCATATTAAAATGAATATATATGAAAACAGCAGTCAATCATGGTTATGGTAGATATCTATGCAAATGTTACTTTCAAAATATGTCTAGTCTATCCTTTTTCGTCTATCGCCGATACCAAAACACTTATGTGACATGAGTGGCAAGCGATTGGCTTGTGTTTGTCACCCCCATTTTCATTGGTTTCTAATATTTCATGATGATAATGTGATAGGTAGTGCTTTCTCTTCTCATTCGTGTTTGTATTTATGTATCTATTTCATTTCAGTTAATTTAATTTTGCTTTTCTTTTAGCTTGGCGCATGTTCATGACAGCCAAATTCAATGTTTTGTACCCCATGTTTTTTTTTGCGCGCTGATGAAAACGGAAGACAAGGCCGCACCTGTGACGTCACCAGGCGCTCTAGTGACGTCAGCTGGCGCCGGTTCTCGGCCGTGTGGCGATTAAGAAGAGCCGGCGTGTGTCAGGTGGCTGGCGCCAGCGGGAGGGCCGGCTGTTTGCGGCCGGCCCGTGTAATGGCACCCGTCTGAGGCCGACAGAGCGTTCAAAAAGAACGTCGTCTGCCAGACGGGCGGCGTCAACCTGTGGCAGGCTGAGCCGACAGCGCCCACCGCCCTCAACTCCTCAGCCAATTAACAGACAGTTTTTGCCCGCGGCGGCGCTGTGATTTTCCTTTGTGTTCAGACAATGATGCCAACTTCAATAATCATACTAAAATGACAGAGGCAAAACAAATGCCTACAGAATTATGGGGCGAATTGACGTAAGATTGCAAGTCACATAAGTTTTCAATAGTAGGTAAGGCAAAGCTATAGTGATTAGTGTGTTATTTATATCACTAATGATCATCATTAAAAAGCCACGTATGTTTGCAATCACCATCCGTGGCCCGAGCCCTGACCTTCCTGTTCGTGTATCCCGCCGGAGCCCTGGCTCACCCTGTCCTGTTCGTAGGTAAGTACTCTGTGAGGGCGACATCTCCCCCAGTTACCTTCCTGTTGGACAGGGCCCACATAGAGCCTTACCAAGGTCACGTTGCCGCGAGGCCCCTCCCTCATGCGAGGCCCCGCGCCGTCGGCCTTTATCAGTGCCGCTGGCGTCTCGCGCTCTCTCGTCTTGTGCCAGCGCGCCGTCTGCTCGGGCGCGCGCGGTATTTCGAGCGGCGCGCGCCCGTCCTCCCGCCACATTCCCGCGCCACAGTGCGGCACAAAGCCGGCCTGAGAGCCGGCCGCGGAGGGCCGACACACTGTCCGTCACACTGTGCCTCTGGGCGGGACCGAGGGGCAGGCTGCAGGCGCTGGGGAGACCGTCAGCGCCGCACTCATCAGCTGCGCCAACGAGTCGGACAGCTTATGGTGTTTTCGTGAGATGTGTATCCTTCTTCTTTAGCCTTTGTCGTGTGTGATATCTCATATCCATTACACGGACAATGTTAATTAAATTTACTCACGTTAGCATGAGAATGTCCGCAGTTGGTGAAGGGCGGGAACAGAGTTTGGAGGCGACGGACGTCGACGTGCAGGCGTGGCTCTCGTTATCTCGTCTGCCATAGCCTAGCCGCTACCTCCCGCACTCATTCGAGTGTCCTACTCGAATTATTGGCATACTGCATTATTGGCCTGTGTATTAGTGGTACGGAGGCAGCGGTGTCGACATGGCCGGGCCATGTTGTCGGTATGTATTCGTGGTCAGCCGACCTGTCAGGGCTGAGGCGGCCGGGAGACGGATCGCCAAGAGCGGGACACCACGGCGGCGTGGTGGCCCTGACGGATGGGCGGTGGCGACACCGAGCCCCACTGAGCTCCATACAGGGTTGTATACCAATCAAGTCGATTGAATTGATTGATTTGATTCAGCGCGTATTTTGAGTTGATTGGATTGAGTCGATTGAGTTTTCGAGATGACTGGTTGACTGACTCGTTTGACTTTAGCGACTGGTTGACTGATTTGATTCCCGAAAATTAGAGTGACTCGTATGATTGAGTCGATTGAATGGAAAGTTGAAATAAGTTTTAGTTGACGAAAAATAATGACACCAATTGATGACATCAAAGATCACAAAACTACACTGAAAACTGCTTGTCATCACAACTGCAATATGAAGTAGATGGCCAAATAAAGAACAGGGCCTAAACATGAACAGCCAACTTTGACTTTCAACTGCAATAACTGCTCCAATCCTGTGATAGAACCTGGCGATGCACCTACCTACCTTTCTGCACTCAGCAGGAATTTTTTTTTAATCCAGATGATAAAGTGCAAGGCCCTATATACTAATAAAGTGTGATTAATTACTAATTCACATCTCCACATCTCCTCAGAAACAACCCACTAAACTCTATAAATATCTGAAACCCCTACAAAAATAACTGAAACAAAAGCGCCGTTTTCGTCTCGCTAATTACGTTTACATTAATAGCTAATTTGCTGCATTGTTTAATTTGCAGCAGAACGTTTGTTGATCCTTTTCTCCTGAGAGCCTAGGCATAACATATTTCATTTTCCTTAAAATATTTTACCGAATATTATTAAGTGGTTTTATTTCAATTGAAATAATAAATAAAACGAAATTGGTGTTGTACTGATTTATTTTATGATGATCTACCATACTACATGATAATCAATGACGTCATCTTACCAAAAAATCAAAAGACGAAGAATAAGGATTTATAAAAGCTTAGCATACTTCTTGGCAAAACGTTTTCTTTGTTTTTTCGCAATCGGACCAACGGCATTTAATTTTCCTTGTTCTTCTTCCTTTGTCCTTAACTTATCCTGTGGTTCCAGAGTCCCTGTCCTTTCCATTTCCTTTTAAATATATTTTTAATGCTCATCCCTATCCCCCAGTCCTAACAGTTTCAAATTGTATTGCAATAAAATGTTTTGAATTCTTCACATATAACCTATCTACCTTCGTTGGTACTGTTGGTAGCCAGTGACACATCTAGGCAGGTAAGTAGGTACGTACCTACCTGCTTTCCTGCTGTCTTCATAAAGCATACCTAATGAAGTTGTCAAATTTATAGCACATTTTCAACACTTTCATATCAATATGGTGTCAGTGTGGCATGTAACCTAGCTAGGTTCATTATGTTCAGGGTTCAATTCAGAAGAGCTCCGCATAACTCACATAAGAGACAGACGGGGGCTTTACATGGGGTAGATGGCCTGATGACTTAGCTGGAATATGGCCAAAATTAAATTGACAACTTTTAGGTGAAAGGTGGTGATTTGGGTAAAGGGGCGTTTGTTGAAGTCAACTACTGGGTTATTTTGCACCCATTAAATGAAACTTCTGCTCCAATTCTACCCATTGAACCTCAATATCATGATCCACCTGTCCATCACTAGGTATCCTTCCTTATTACATAGAAACTTTGAATGGCATGGCAATTTATAATTTTAAATGACAATATTTTTGTTTCTTCTGTAGGTAGGTAGGTAGGTAGGTACACCAGACTGCTATGGACACTTTTCCAAGTTGGTGGGGCAAAAAACCTAATGTATATCTTGGTTTGAGTCGTTTGATTGAGTTGATTGATTCCTTTCATTGTCGCGTTTGAGTCGATTGAATCAATTCCCGAAAACTGCTCTGACTTGATTGATTTGATTGGTTTCCCAAATTTGTCGTGATTGAATTGATTGCTATTGATTGAGTCGTATACAACCCTGGCTCCATAGTCCCACCGACTGCCATCGGGGCCGACCAGTAGTCCCTCTCAGACTCATCGAGTCCCACCGGGTCCCACCACCAAGCCTCATTCAGCCAAGCTAAGTCTGCCGTCCTATCTGCAGCCCCGTCGATGTCATTCCCAGTCCAGATCGTCCATCCGTTCCCAGTCCAGTTCGTCCAACCGTCCCCAGTCCAGTTCGTCCATCCGTCCCCAGTCCAGTTCGTCCATCCGTCCCCAGTCCAGTTGGTTTGTCCGTCCCCAGAGTCATTAGGAGCGCGCGCGGCCGAGCCGTAACCGCGGCGCGGCCGGCTCGCCGTCGCCACCGGCGTGCCAGATTGTACGCTGATTAGGCCACTAAGGGCTTGAGGCGGCGACGACAGACCGACGCGACGGGCACACGTCGTCCGGCCGGCGCCGTCACTGTTCGCCGGTCGGGAGAGGCGGCGACCGTCCCCAGTGGCTCAGCGAGTCTGAGATTAGACGGCTTGCGCTGGGGTGTAAATGCCTAACTAAGCAGTCATGGTTTAGTTAACCTGATTGCTAACCAGCAATCCCTGCTCATTCCAGGCATTTCATTCATTAGTCAGGCTTGTTTTGAGGCTTGGTGGCACGCCTCTCTTTCAGGTCCACAGGTCACTGGCTACTTTTTAGCTATTTCCTAGAGGCTGGCTCGATTTCAGTTCAGTCCGAGACT